TCGCAAACCCAGCGCGGCCCCCTCCCGCTGCGACAGCCACCGCTGCTTGACACTGCTGCTGATAGCGATGCTGTCTGAACTGCTGTTGCTATTGCTACCGATGCTGTCGTCTCTCTACCGTCCGCCACGGCACGCGGTCACAACATTGCCTAGCCCTTACCAGCTGCGACAGCGACTGCAGCGTGACACTGCTGCTACTGCCGCTGTTGTTGTTATGAATGCTGTCGAGCTAAAGCTGCTGTTGTTATGACTGCTGCTCTCTCAACACAGAGATACATAGACTTGTATAGATACATAGAGACGGATATAGATACAGAGACACATATAGCTATTCAGGCATACATATGATACATAGAGACCGATATAGATACAGAGAAACATAGCGCTACTTAGGGACACATATGATACGTAGAAACCCATATAGATGCATACTCATATACAGTGAGGGAAAAAGGTGTTTGATCCCCTGCTGATTTTGTACGTTTGCCCACTGACAAATAAATTATCAGTCTATAATTTTAATGGTAGGTTTATTTGAACAGTGAGAGACAGAATAACAACAAAATCCAGAAAAACGCATGTCAAAAATGTTATCAATTGATTAGCATTTTAATGAGGGAAATAAGTAATTGACCCCTCTACAAAACATGACTTAGTACTTGGTGGCAAAACCCTTGTTGGCAATCACAGAGGTCAGACGTTTCTTGTAGTTGGCCACCAGGTTGGCACACATCTCAGGAGGGATTTTGTCCCACTCCTCTTTGCAGATCTTCTCCAAGTCATTAAGGTTTCGAGGCTGACGTTTGGCAACTCGAACCTTCGGCTCCCTCCACAGATTTTCTATGGGATTAAGGTCTGGAGACTGGCTAGGCCACTCCAAGACCTTAATGTGCTTCTTCTTGAGCCACTCCTTTGTTGCCTTGGCCGTGTGTTTTGGGTCATTGTCATGCTGGAATACACATCCACGACCCATTTTCAATGCCCTGGCTGAGGGAAGGAGGTTCTCACCCAAGATTTGGCGGTACATGGCCCCGTCCATCATCCCTTTGATGCGGTGAAGTTGTCCTGTCCCCTTAGCAGAAAAACATCCCCAAAGCATAATGTTTCCACCTCCATGTTTGACGGTGGGGATGGTGTTCTTGGGGTCATAGGCAGCATTCCTCCTCCTCCAAACACGGCGAGTTGAGTTGATGCCAAAGAGCTCCATTTTGGTCTCATCTGACCACAACACTTTCACCCAGTTGTCCTCTGAATCATTCAGATGTTCATTGGCAAACTTCAGACGGGCATGTATATGTGCTTTCTTGAGCAGGGGGACCTTGCGGGCGCTGCAGGATTTCAGTCCTTCACAGCGAAGTGTGTTACCAATTGTTTTCTTGGTGACTATGGTCCCAGCTACCTTGAGATCATTGACAAGATCCTCCCGTGTAGTTCTGGGCTGATTCCTCACCGTTCTCATGATCATTGCAACTCCACGAGGTGAGATATTGCATGGAGCCCCAGGCCGAGGGATATTGACAGTTCTTTTGTGTTTCTTCCATTTGCGAATAATCGCACAAACTGTTGTCACCTTCTCACCAAGCTGCTTGGCAATGGGCTTGTAGCCCATTCCAGCCTTGTGTAGGTCTACAATCTTGTCCCTGACATCCTTGGAGAGCTCTTTGGTCTTGGCCATGGTGGAGAGTTTGGAATCTGATTGATTGATTGCTTCTGTGGACAGGCGCCTTTTATACAGATAACAAGCTGAGATTAGGAGCACTCCCTTTAAGAGTGTGCTCCTAATCTCAGCTCGTTACCTGTATAAAAGACACCTGGGAGCCAGAAATCTATGATTGAAAGGGGGTCAAATACTTATTTCCCTCATTAAAATGCAAATCAATTCATAACATTTTTGACATGCGTTTTTCTGTATTTTTTGTTTGTTATTCTGTCTCTCACTTTCAAATAAACCTACCATTAAAATTATAGACTGATCATTTCTTTGTCAGTGGGCAAACGTACAAAATCATCAGGGGATCAAATACTTTTTTCCCTCCCTGTAGACATGTCTAGTAGAGCCATATAGATACGTAGATATACATAGCGGTAAATCATCATTTAGATTGACAAACTCATTTCTTTAGAACTTCTTTTGTGTTTAATTTGTTGTCCTTCACCCGTACCTCCAATTAGCACGGTTCACTACGTACGGTGTGAAAGATATTCCACATACCGACACAGAAACCTACACTCAAAGAGAGACCCACAGACTCATACAGAGACCCGCAGACTCACACAGAGACCCGCAGACTCACACAGAGACCCGCAGACTCACACAGAGACCCACAGACTCACACAGAGACCCACAGACTCACGCAGAGACCCACAGACTCACACAGAGACCCACAGATTCACACAGAGACCCACAGACTCACACAGAGACCCACAGACTCACACAGAGACCCACAGACTCACACAGAGACCCACAGGCTCACACAGAGACCCACAGACTCACACAAAGACACACACAGACTCACACAGAGACCCACAGACTCACACAGAGACCCACAGACTCACACAGAGACCCACAGACTCACACAGAGACCCACAGACTCACACACAGAGACCCACAGACTCACACAGAGACCCACAGACTCACACAGAGACCCACAGACTCACACAGAGACCCACAGACTCACACAGAGACCCACAGGCTCACACAGAGACCCACAGACTCACACAGAGACCCACAGACTCACACAGAGACACACAGACTCACACAGAGACACACAGACTCACACAGAGACCCACAGACTCACACAGAGACCCACAGACTCACACAGAGACCCACAGACTCACACAGAGACCCACAGACTCACACAGAGACCCACAGACTCACATAGAGACCCACACACGAACACAGAGACCCAGACTCACACAGAGACCTAAACTCACACAGACCCAAACTCACACGGACACCCACAGATATCTTTCGACTCAACACTGCCCAAAGACTCGACACTGCACCGAGAAGTTCAACATACGTACATACAACATACACCCGACATACATACAAATACGTTCATAGCAGCAGCACCACTACCTCCACTATTTGGCTCCTTTGAGCCAAACATCACCAACACTTGCACCATCAAAGACCCCCCGTGTAGTCTGTATCAGACTGTAGGGGCAAGTGCTGTTAGCGAGCAGCGCCTATGAAGGCTACTGGCACTGTGGCACACGAGGGGGTGGTGAGTGGCCAGCACCACGCCCGACCGCCTTTGTCTCTCCCCCAGTGGTGGTGTTTTACACACCACACCAGGTACTCATTTGAGGCCGAGTCGACCTAGGGTACTGCCACCACCATCAACGACAACAGCAACCACTCGCCACTAAGTGGTGGTGACGTCACCATGGCGCTTGTGCCAGGCTATGTGCACGTTAAGGCAACGTGAAGCGTCAAACGCCCGCTGGCAGGAGGTCATGAAACAGACCCAGGTGCCATGGGTTGACTGACGGAGATGACTGAGACGCCTGGCTGATGCACCACCTGTGCCCCCTACTGTGCCAACTTGCTATGTTTCAGCCACCCGGCGCGCCGCTCGTTGTTGTGAGCGTCGCTCCTCCGCCCTCCGTTGTTGTTGGAGGGCGCCTGCCTCCAACTGCCCAGTAGCAGCGTCCTTCACGAGCCTCCTCCACAAAGGCCGATCTTGACACCGCTGGTACCGGCCATCGGCAAGTCCACTCAGCTCCACGTCCTCCTGTACCACATCACTCCATCTCTTCTCTAGCCTGTGCCACGCCTAATCAGATCCCTCTATGCGGCTAGACAAAAGCTGCTTGGGCATGCGGTGGCTGGGCATGCGGGCTACATGACCCAGCCAACGCAGCCTTGACTGCCGGAGGAGCTCACTGATGGGACTTTGTCCAGATATTTCGAGAATTTGTGAGCTCCTCACACAATCCAGCCTGCTGGTTAAACCGGCACACTGAGGAGTGAGATGCCCCTGTAGTTGTTACAGTCTGTGCGGTCCCCCTTCTTCAAGAGGGGGACCAGCAGGGCATCCTTCCAATCCTGCGGAACCCGTCCAGCGGTCCAGACTGTTGTTATGATGTCACGTAGGGCAGTCTGTGCACAAACGCCACCCTCCCTCAGCATTTCGCTTGGGAGATCATCTCTGCCCGGTGCCTTTCCTGGTCTCAGACTCTGGATCGCCTTCAGTACTTCCTCAACAGACAGCACCTCAGCCAGCCGCTCACAGGGGATGACTTCTTCTTCCAATATTTGAGGCACCGCAGCCTCGGCAGGGGTCATCCCCACCATGCCCCGTAATGTTTCCCAGGCTGAGGGATTTCACCTCCCCCAGGACCTCACGAGAGAGAGAGAAGCCACACAACACCTCCCCAACGTGCCGATCACCGCAGCCATTCTGCCGCTCTGCTCGGCCGCCACCGTGATTCTTCGCCGAGCACAACCCCCTCCCCTCCCCCCGTCCCCGTCCCCTCCCCCCAAACAACGCGACGCAAAACCGGGAACGTAATTGGGAGCGATTTAGATGGCGTTTTTTTTTTTTGGGACGTTGTGTTATTTTACATATCACGGCCCCCTCGCTTTTCCTACAAAAAAAAACGTGGCGAATGCGAGGGCGGCACGGACAGGACCGGACGGTGGCGGTGACACCAATGACGGCGGCGATGGCTACGACGGCGATGATTATCGATAACGGAAGGGTGAATCCGGCACAAGGCGATCGGTCGCTTTGGGCGGCGTGGGAATTGACGGAGCTGCGCTGAGAGAGAGAGGGGGGGGACACAGCGGGGGAGAGAGCGAAGAGAGAGCGGAGTTAGAGAGAGGGGAGAGGGAAAAAAAGAGAGAGCGAGAGGGAGAGAGTGAAGAGAGAGTGGAGCGAGGAGAGAGAGAGTGGAGCGAGGAGCGAGAGTGGAGCGAGGCGAGAGAGTGGAGCGAGGAGAGAGAGAGAGTGGGGCGAGGAGAGAGAGAGAGTGGAGCGAGGAGAGAGAGAGAGAGAGTGGAGCGAGGAGAGAGAGAGAGTGGAGCGAGGAGAGAGAGCGCCGAGGAAGAGAGTGGAGCGAGAGAGCTGAGGACGGTCGTTTTAATATCGGATGAACGCACGACGCTGTCTGGACACCGGAGCCATGGAATCTCCCCCTCAAGATAAATCAACGCTTTGGCTGCAGTGAGTGAGCCGTGGTACTGTGAGTGCGTGGGTGGTGTGGTGTGTGGTGTGTGTGGGGTGTGTGTGTTGTGTCTGTGTAGTGTGTGTGGGGCGTGTGTGTGGGGCGTGTGTGTGGGGCGTGTGGATCGTGTGAAGTGTGTGGTGTGGTGTGTGTGTGGTGTGTGTGTTGGTACTGTGAGTGCGTGGTGTGGTGTGTAGTGTGTGTGGGGTGTGTGTGGGGTGTGTTTGGGGTGTGTGGTGTGTCTGTGTGGTGTGTGTGGTGTGTGTCGCGTGTGGTGTGTGGTGTGTGTGTGTAGTGTCTGTGTGATGTGTGTAGTGTCTGTGTGATGTGTGTAGTGTCTGTGTGGTGTGTGTCGTGTGTGTTGTGTGTAGTGTGTGGTGTGTGTTGGTATTGTAAGTGCGTGGGTTGTGTAGTGTGTGTGGGGTGTGTGTTTAGTGTGTGTGTAGTGTGTGTATGTTGGTATTGTGAGTGCGTGGGTGGTATGGTGTATAGTGTGTGTGGCGTGTGTGTGTAGTGTGTGTGTTGGTATTGTGAGTGCGTGTGTGGTGTGTGTAGTGTGTGGGTGGTGTGTGGGTCGTGTGTATGTGGTGTGTGTGTGAAGTGTGTGGTGTGGTGTGTGTGGTGTGGTGTGTGTAGTGTGTGGTGTGTGTAGTGTGTGTGTGTTAGTATTGTAAGTGCGTGGGTGGTGTGTAGTGTTTGTGAGGTGTGTGTGTTGGTATTGTGAGTGCGTGGTGTGTAGTGTGTGTGGGGTGTGTCTGTATGTGGAGTGTGTGTGGTGTGTGTGGTGTGTGTGTGTGGTGTGTGTGTGGTGTGGTGTGTAGTGTGTGTGGGGTGTGTGTGGTGTGGCGTGTGTGGTGTGTCGTGTGGTGTGTGTGGTGTGTAGTGTGTGTGGGGTGTGTGTATGTGGTGTATGTGTGGTGTGTGTGGTGTGTGTGGTGTGGCGTGTGTGGTGTGTCGTGTGGTGTGTGTGTGGTGTGGTGTGTAGTGTGTGTGGGGTGTGTGTGTATGGTGTGTGTGGTGTGTGGTATGGCGTGTGGCGTGTGTTGGGTGGTGTGTGACGTGTGTGGTGTGTGAGAGTTGGTGTTGTGAGTGCGGGTGGTTTACTGTGTGTGGTGTGTGAGTGGTGCTATTGTGAGTGTGTAGTGTGTGGTGTGTGTGTAGTGTGTGTAGTGTGTGTGTCTGTCTGTGTGTCTGTCTGTGTGTGTCTGTGTGTGTCTGTGTGTGCATGGAGAGCGGTGGTGGAGCGGTTAGCGCTGTGCTACGAACCCGGCGACCCGAGTTCGATTCCCGCTCACGGCCAGCAACACCGTTGATGTATTATCAGAACCGGTCCTGGGCCTACTCCCCTAGGTCGACTCAGCCTCAAATGAGTACCTGGTGCGGTGTGAACGGTAAACATCGCCACTGGGGAGACAAAGGCGGACGGGAGTGGTGCTGGCCACCCACCCCCTCGTGTGCCACGGTGCCGGGAGCCTCCATAGGCGCTGCTCGCTAACAGCACTTGCCCCAACAGTCTGTTACAGGCTACACGGGGGATCTTTGTCTTTGTGCGTGTGTGTGTGTGCGCAATGGATACTGTAAATGTGTGTGGGGAGCGGTGGGGTAGCGGTTAGCGCTACGCTGAGCTGACAATCCGGCGACCCGAGTTCGATTCCCGCTCTCGGCCAACGACGGTGACGTTCATCTGAACCCGGTCCTGGGACCCCTCTAGGTCGACTCAGCTTCAAATCAGTACCCAGTGCCATTGTGCGGTCACGCGGTTTAAATTTGCGCTGTCTTATTGCTATGCCCCGTGTGTGTGTGTGCGTTGAACTTCTGTTGCACCGCACGTAGCCAACCGCACTAATCGGAGGTGCGGATTGTTGAGTCAATTGGCAGTGTTGAGTCTACGGTGCAGTGTTGAGTCTGTGGTGCAATGTTGAGTCTATGGGCAGTGTTGAGTCTATGGTGCAGTACTGAGTCTATGGTGCAGTGTTGAGTCTGTGGTGCAGTGTTGAGTCTGTAGTGCAGTGTTGAGTCTATGGTGCAGTGTTGAGTCTGTGGTGCAGTGTTGAGTCTGTGGTGCAGTGTTGAGTCTATGGTGCAGTGTTGAGTCTATGGTGCAGTGTTGAGTCTATGGTGCAGTAATGAGTCTATGGTGCAGTGTTGAGTCTATGGTGCAGTGTTGAGTCTATGGTGCAGTACTGAGTCTGTGGTGCAGTGTTGAGTCTATGGTGCAGTGTTGAGTCTATGGTGCAGTGTTGAGTCTGTGGTGCAGTGTTGAGTCTATGGTGCAGTGTTGAGTCTATGGTGCAGTGTTGAGTCTATGGTGCAGTGTTGAGTCTTTTGCACCGTACATAGCCAACAGTGCTAATCGGAGGTGCGGGTGATGACCATAACGTGGTTGAGCGTGGTGGTGGTGGTGGTGAGCGTGGTGGTGGTGGTGGTGAGCGTGGTGGTGGCGGTGAGCGTGGTGGTGGTGAGCGTGGTGGTGGTGGTGGTGAGCGTGGTGGTGGTGGTGGTGAGCGTGGTGGTGGTGAGCGTGGTGGTGGTGGTGAGCGTGGTGGTGGTGAGCATGGTGGTGAGCGTGGCGGTGAGCATCTCGCGCTGCGCATGGAGGATGCGACAGGGGGATCTAACCGAATCGATGAACCCTGGGGTGACCAGGAATCCACATCAATGGGGCTTTAATGGCCATCATTTCAGTATCGATCTCTGTGACCCGGTGTAGCTCGTCACGCGCGAACTCCTGTCATCCTCGCAGCAGCAGCAGCAGCAGCAGTAGTAGCAGCAGTAGTAGCAGCAGCAGTAGCAGCAGTAGTAGTAGCAGCCACAGAAGCAGCCACAGTAGCAGCAGTAGTGGCTGCAGTGGCAGCAGTAGTAACAGTAGCAGCAGCAACAGTAGTAGTAGCAGCAGTAGCAGCAGTAACAGCAGCAGTAGTGGCTGCAGTGGCAGCAGTAGCAGCAGCAACAGTAACCACAGTAGCAGCAGTAGTGGCTGCAGTGGCAGCAGTAGTAGTAGTAGCAGTAGTAGCAGCAGCAGCAGCAGTAGTAGCAGTAGTAGCAGCAGCAGTAGTAGTAGCAGCAGTAGCCACAGTAGCAGCAGCAACAGTAGCAGCAGCAACAGTAGTAGCAGCAGCAGTAGTAGCAGTAGCCACAGCAGTAGTAGTAGCAGCAGCAGTAGCCACAGTAGCAGCAGCAACAGTAGCAGCAGTAGCAGCAGCAGCAGTAGCAGAAGCAGTAGCCACAGTAGCAGCAGTAGCCACAGCAGCAGCAGTAGCAGCAGCAACAGCAGCAGCAGTGGCTGCAGTGGCAGCAGCTTTGCATTTGTGTACCACGAACACCGCCCTGGCTAAGAGACGATGTAAAGAGTCCACTCAGCTAGCCCCGAGTGGGCTTCACGAATATCGTGGGGGACGCTGCCGGTGCATACGGTGAGGGTGGCGTCGGCGTCGGCCCTTCGTAGCCTCCACACACACACACACACCCCAAAAAAAATGCTCCTCCCCACCGTCCCATTATCCTCTTGCTGCTGGGGCACAAGCGAAGAGGATGGACGCCACGCTACGGGGCGAAGCCCGGCTTGCCAACTTGATGGGCCGTCGCTGTTGAATGGACACGCTCGCAACGAGCACTGCTCGGACGGGAAGACGTCGGGTGTCAATGCCCCAAGGTGGCTTGGAAGATGTTGACTACCTCGCCCGGTAACGTCGATCCCGACCCTTGCCCGGAGGCTGTTGCCACGGAGATGTTGACTACCTCGCCTGGTAACGCAGGAGGTCGTGGGTTCGATCCCGACCCTTGCCCGGAGGCTGTTGCCACGGAGATGTTGACTACCTCGCCTGGTAACGCAGGAGGTCGTGGATTCGATCCCGACCCTTGCCTGGAGGCTGTTGACACGGAGATGTTGACTGCCTCGCCCGGTAACGCAGGAGGTCATGGGTTCGATTCTGACCCTTGCCTGGAGGCTGTTGACACGGAGATGTTGACTGCCTCGCCCGGTAACGCAGAAGGTCATGGGTTCGATCCTGACCCTTGCCTGGAGGCTGTTGACACGGAGATGTTGACTGCCTCGCCTGGTAACGCAGGAGGTCGTGGGTTCGATCTTGACCCTTGCCGGAGGCTGTTGTCACGGAGATGTTGACTACCTCGCCTGGTAACGCAGGAGGTCGTGGGTTCGATCCCAACCCTTGCCCGGAGGCTGTTGCCACGGAGATATTGACTGCCTCGCCTGGTAACGCAGGAGGTCATGGGTTCGATCCTGACCCTTGCCTGGAGGCTGTTGACACGGAGATGTTGACTACCTCGCGCGGTACGCAGGAGGTCGTGGGTTCGATCCTGACCCTTGCCCGGAGGCTGTTGCCACGGAAATGTTGACTACCTCGCCCGGTACGCAGGAGGTCGTGGGTTCGATCCCGACCGTTGCCCGGAGGCTGTTGCCACGGAGATGTTGACTGCCTCGCCCGGTAACGCAGGAGGTCGTGGATTCGATCCTGACCCTTGCCGGAGGCTGTTGCCACGGAGATGTTGACTACCTCACCAGGTACGCAGGAGGTCGTGGGTTCGATCCGACCCTTGCCGGAGGCTGTTGCCACGGAGATGTTGACTACCTCACCAGGTACGCAGGAGGTCGTGGGTTCGATCCCGACCCTTGCCTGGAGGCTGTTGCCATGGAGATGTTAACTACCTCGCCCGGTACGCAGGAGGTCGAGGGTTCGATCCCGACAAAAATCAGATCTAAAGAAATGAGTGTCAATCGAGACAATGGCGATGATTTTTTTAATTAAAAAGAAAAACATGCGTCCAGCCTCTGTATGGAAAGCTCGGCTTTTAATTGATTTACCTCTCTCGTCAAGTCACGGTTGCCGAGAAACTGACCCCAAAAGGTCCCCCGAAACACTTCGAAGATGCCAGCAGCCGACAGCACCGGACTACTAAACCCTAAACCATTTGTTTATTATCTCACCCGACCGGAGTGCTGCGTAGCGATTTCTCAGAAGCGACCCTCCGGCCATCACAA